TAGTGATTTGATTTGAAACTGTCTCATTGCTATTTGTTTATCAACAAAATTATGAAAAAAAACTGTTCTAATTTCTTCTTTAATTTCATCTAGGACCTATTGGTTGTTCAGGAGGGTATTACTTAATTTTCATGTGTTTATGAAGTTGTTGTGGTTTCTTTCATCACAATTTCCAATTTAATTGCACTGTGGTCAGATAATATGCATGGGTTAATTTCAATTCCTTGCCATTTTCTTAAGCATGTTGTACAAATCTATTTTAATTTTTTTATTTATTATTTATGTGTGTGTGTGTGTGTGTGGCCACCTCAACCCACCAGGGGGTGGGGCTGGCTGGCATGTGGTGCTGGGGGATTGAACTGTGGTCCCTGTGCGTTGCTAAGTTTGTTCTAAGTAGGTGCTTTAGACCACTGTCTCACCAGCCCCAAATCTATTTTAAAGAAGGATCCATGTGTTTAAATGTACTTCTTTTATATAGCATATTCGTGGATTTTTTTTCTTGACCCATTCTGCCACTCCCAAGTGTAACTATAGGAATGTGTATTCTGGTGGAGAATTGTTTTTCATCTCTTGACTTTGAGTCTGCAAATTTCTTTTTGAGTTAAATGTGTTTCTTTTATACAGTATATTGTTGGATTTTGTTTCTTTACCCATTCTGCCAGTCTCATGTGTAACTATTAGAATGTGTTTTCTGATGTTGTTGAACAACAACATCAGAACACTCTAAACATCTACTAAATCCATGAGTACACCATTTTGATTTATTTCTTTGCTGGTCTTTCATCTGGTTGGTCTATCTATTTGTGCCAGTAGGGGTATTAGGGCCCCCCACTCCAATTGTGTTATTGCTTATTTGATTTTTCTCGTTGATTTATACTTGTTTTATATAGTCAGGTGCTCCCGTATTTGGTACATACCTATGTATGATTGCTGTTTCTTGTTCTTCTTGGAGTTCTTCCTTAACAAGTATGTAGTAATCTCTTTATCTGTTTTTTTTTTTTTTTGACAGTCACAGTGTGTGATTTTAATCAGGTTCCAGGATGATGAGATGGTTCCCAAAAGTGCCCGCAGATGCAGGGCCAAGTGGGAGAAGTTTCCTGAAGACTCTGCCGGGCCTACTTAGTCCAGCTGACTTTGGGAATGTCACAGTGCTCCGTGAGGGTGCCCAGGTGCCTGTTAAAGTCCTCCACATGCTGCTCGTGGGTTTTGGACGCTTTCTTCAGGATCTGCTCCATTTGCTGCTTTTCCTGTATCCTCTCGAAAGCTGCCTGTGCCAGTGTCCACTTGTTCAGGCAGCACCACTTCTCCTCCTCGTTCTTGCCCGGCACCACCACCTCCAGGAGCTTCACCTTGTCCTTTTTCCACTTGGTCATGCTGAGCTCTGCAACACTTTTCAGCTTCAGAGGCCCCTTTTGGACTTGCTCATAGGCCTCCACAGCACTGATCCACAGTTCCTGGAACAAAGTTCTGTTAGTACTTTATTTCATTTCTATTTATTTTATTTTATTTTTTGCTGTACCAAGGATTGAACTTAGGATCCTGCACTTGCCAGGCAGGTGCTTATTTACTGAGCTATCTCCCCCGCCCACTTTATCTATTTTGATCATTCTTGCTTTGACGTTCCTATTCTGCCAACAATAGTTACCCCTGATGTTTTCTAGATTTGTCTCCTTGAGAAATGTTATCCATCTCTTGACTCTCAGTCTACAAATTTCTTTTTGAGTTAAATGTATTTCTTTTAAACAGCATATTGTTGGATTTTGTTTCCTGGCTCATTTTGCCAGTCTGTTTCTTTTGATTGGTGAATTGAGACATTGATGGATATACCTGATAGGCACAAGTTTATCCTTATCTTATTGTTTTCCTGTTGTTGGTTCCCCATTTTTCCCTCTGTTTAATTGCTTGTCCTGCATGGTAATTTCTTTGTATTGTTGTTCTTAGAATTGTGGTCATTTAAAAAAAAAAAAAAAAAAAGGCCAGGGAGATGGCTCAGTAGAATAAGTGCTTCCCTAGCAAGCACAAGGGTCTGAATTCAAACCCCGGTTCCACCAAAAAAACAAAAGAATTGTGGTCATTTTTGTCTATGTTTAGAAAATCTCTCAGTATACTTTGTAGGTTGGTTAAATGGTCATAAATTTCTTTTGTTGTTCTTTGACATGGTCGTGTCTTATTTCTCCTTCAATTTTGAAAGATAGTTTTGCAGGGTATATCAGTCTGGGTTGGCAGATATTGTCTTCCAAATTTGAAATACTTCACTCCAAGCTCTTCCTGACTTAAGGATTTCTGTTGAGACATGTACTATGATTTATTTTTATTTATTTATTTTTTTTGGCAGAACTGAGGATTGAACTCAGACCCTTGTGCTTGCCAGGCAAACGCTTATTCTAATGAGCCATCTCCCTGGCCCCGAGACATGTGCTATGGTTCTTATGGGCTTTCCTTTATCTGTGGTGTTTCTTTTCTCAAAGAGCCTTAACATTCTGTCCTCGGTCTGAATTTCTAGGTTCTTGATTATTTTATGCCTTTGTGTAGATTTATTTTGATCTAAGTGGAGTTCTCTATGCCTCACTAAGCTGTGTCAGATTCATTTTCCCGCTTGGGATATTTTCTACTATTACTTTGGAAAATAGTGTTTATGTAATTTGTGTTGACTCATACATTTTATGGACATCAATCAGTCTTTTTTTTTTTTTATCACCTTGCAGCTGTTTAATTCTTTTTTTTTTTCCCCTGATCTCTTGTTACTTTTAAGAGATTTTTCCTTTTGTATTCAAAAACTGCAATTCTTGGGCTGGGGAGATGGCTCAGTGGAATAAACGCTACCCTGGCAAGTGCAAGCGCCCGAGTTCAATCTCTAGTTCTACAAAAAACAAACAAACAAACAAAAAACATGTAATTCTTTCTTCAGGGTCTGAAGGTCAATCTTCAGTTTTTTTCAAGTAGTTTTACCAGCTTTTCATGGAATTTTTCCCTTCCTGGATATCTATTCGAATCCATTTCATGCATTCTATTTCTTTCCTATATTGGCCATTCATAGTTTTCATCCTATTCCTATGCTCCTCTTTTTATCTACATCTACTCTACATTTTTTAGCAACTGCTTTGTTATGGTAATCCTTTTTTTAAACCTTAGAGATCATTTATTATCTGATTTCTTCTGTGGTCTTATAGATTTGCTTCTTTCCTTCAGTTACTCTCATCTCAGAGATGTCACATGCTTCTTTTTCTATATCTTGTTGTCTCCTGGAGTTGTGGGTGGGCTGGAGGTCTGGGGTTGCATTTTGCTTTTGCATCTTGTCATTTGCTATGTAAAAATGTTGTTTTGTTTTCTGTGTGGATTCTTGTAAGTTTTTGTAGTAAGTATCTTTATCGCTATTATCAAGGCCTCTCTGGAAAATATCTGTTTTTCAGGGATGTCTTGTATGTGTAGTACATTCTTACTTTGTGTCTGTCCCAAGATCCTACCTTCTCAATTTATTAATAGTGAGATGTTCATTCTCTGTTGAAATTATTACCCCAGAGCTTCCCAGTATTGTTACAGAAAGTCGAGCAAAACCAGATATGACATCCTAGATAAAGTAGTACAATTAGCAATGACAGTAACATTGAACACAGTTATGTAGCTGATAAATGGTGGTAACACCTAATTTTTTTTTTTTTGAGACAAGGTCTCATGCAGTTCAGGCTGGCATTGTGCTCACTTCTGTAGCTCCCAGTCAGGTCTCAAAACTCACAGAGATCTTCTTCTCTCAATCTCCTGAGTGCTGGGATTACAGGTATGTGTAACCACACCCGGTTCCAAGGCTGCACAGTGGGCACTTGCATCTGGGACTGAGATGGTGTACTCGGGGATCCAGGACCTGGGCATATGGGCCAAGACAGTATACCTGGGTATTGAGGTCAGAGACCACACAGCATGCAGGACCAATGATTGAACTCAGGTCATTGTGCTTGCCAGATAGGTGCTTATGCTTCTGAGCTATCTCCCTGCCCCCATAACACCTAATTTTGTACCTTAAACCATGGTAGAAAAATCTACAATTATATAGCAGAACTCATTATAAATTGGGAGTATGAAAATAAAGTGTTTCCCCTTGGTAAAGTGGTTTACCTATGGCAGAAAAATTTAAGAAGAGTGGAGGGCCAGGGACAAGTTTAGTGGTGTAAGCACCTGCCTGACAAGCAGAAGGTGCTAAGTTCTATCTCCACTTCCAAACAAAAGAGCAGATGAAACAGAGATAACTGAAGAGACATAAAGTGGCAGCGAGGTTGGAGGACAAAATACAACTATGTAAACTTTGGGAAAATAGAGAAAAGGGCAGGAGAGAATGAATGAAAGAGTAAGCAAGGAATTACAGAAATCAACTAGAAAAATTAAAATTTTCACTCATATGAAAATGTGATTGACTCTAGAAAGATAAATTGAGGAAAGGGGAAATAAGCCAAGTAGATTAGGACAAAAAAAATAGATAAAAGACAAAGAAGAAAAAGAAAAAACAGCAAAGAAAGCAGAAAAATGAAGCCAAAGACAACCAAATTTCCTCCAGCACCCACTGAGAGCCCACAGCTACCAAATAACACTGCTAAGCCCGTGGTACTTTGTGCTGGGTGTGAAGGTTGTTCCTGGCCTGCAGGTGCGGGCTCTGGGGCCTGTGTGTTGAGCCATTGCTTTGTGTATTTCTGGTAGCACACTGCCACTTTTATCCTGTTTGTCTTGGCATCTCACTCAGTTGTTGTGCTGCTTTCAGAGAGAGACAGGGGACGCTCCCAGTCCCATGCACAGCGGGCCCCTCCTGGTCCTTGCTCAGCTTTCTGTGTTCCCCTTCCCCTGGCAAGTCGCTGTCCTTCAGGGCATTTGCTGCAGGTGGGGGTGCAGATGCGGTGGTGCTGTCTATCTCAAAAATATTATCCCCTAGTTCCTGCAGAGTGCTCAGGCCCATGATCTCCCAAATGAGTGGACGGTGAAGGCTTAAATGAATGAGACAAATGGAAAGATATCAGGGCTCCACGAGGTTCACAACCTAACATCAGAATTCCAGATACTCTGGGACTAAGACCAGGAACTTCTCGATACCACATATCTATTAGGTTTCAAATAGAGGGAGATACTTAAGAAAATGCAGGCATTTTAGCAGGACCTTGGAAATATTTTCCAAAGTAATATGTTATGTTAATTTGAGAGAACTATGTTACTTCTAGGGAGGCCTTTAACGCATGGAGAAGTCTGCAGCTGCAGTCTCCTTTTAGTTAATTGGGGTTGTAGTTGCACATCCTCAACTGTGGCTTTATCTTCTCCTTTGAGGCATCCCAACTTCACAGGCCAGTACAGGCCTCACACGGGAACCAGTGACTCATAGAGGTTCACTTACTGTGAGTCCACACCCCACCTCCACACAGGGCCTAGGCTTTGGGAAACTCACAATTAAACATGAAAGTCCAATTGGTTAATTTTAAATCATGCTCAGAGACACTTTGTAGTGGTCTCCCTCAGTGGTCGCACTCTCTGCTCCTGTGGGTGACATCCGAGCCTCTCTGTCCCAGTCCTTAGTTCTCTCCTGAGCGGGGAGTTCCCGTCTCCCACTGTTGTTTGCAAGGTCCACTGCCTCTGCCACTGCCACAGCCTCTGCTGTATTCCTAAGTTGTTAGGACATGGTGAGGTGCTGGGGGGGCCTTTCTCCTCCTGTGAGCGCATGGGGCCTTCACCAGCTGCACAGTCCTGCAGTGCAATTGCTGTTTAACTCCTGCACATCTCTAGCCACAGGTCATGGGGGAGGGCTGAGCAGTTCCATTTTCCCTGCACACCTGTAGTCTTTATTTTTTGTTTTTTTATTAGTTTGTTTTTATGTATTTGGTATAGGATCTCAATACTCAGCTGGGATTCATAGTGATCCCTGGGTTTTCAGCCTCCCAAGCACTGGGATTACAGGAGTGCGCTACCACACCCAGTATCAGTGGCTGGCTCAGGGTGCCCAAGGAAGGGGTTGTTGAAGATCAAACCCTGGTCCCCGTGCTTGCCTAAGCAGGACATAGTCCACTGTACTATCTCGCTGGCCCTTGAAATCTTTATTCCTGTCCCTAGATGTTGCAGTTAGTGCTCATGTGCATAAAAGGAAGAGGAAGAAAAAGAAGAGAAAAGCAAAGTAAAGCAAAGAGAAAAGTTAGGTTTTTAATTGCATCTTTGATTTTTTTATGTATTCATTACAGGGTCTACAGGGTCTCACTGTGGAGATCAGACTCGTAGTGGTCCTCCTGTTTTCAGCCTCCCAAGTGCTGGGATTACAGGCACATGCCACCATGCCCAATTTCAATCACCATCTCAGCATGCCCCGGGGTTGGGCCAGCAAGGCACACTGGAGATTGAAGCACAATCCCTGCTTAGGCAGGCTCTGTAATCTGCTAAACTATCTGGCTGGCACATCTTTGATTTTATTCATAGATTTTGGTTTGTTTAGGATTGTTTATATCTTCAATACTCTGTTTTGGTAACTCATGTGCATCTAGGAATCTGTCCATTTCCTCTGCATTTTCCATTTTATTGGAATACTGTTTCTTAAAGCAGATATAGATGACCTGGATTTCTGGAAGTCTGTTGTGACTTTATTCATTTGTAATTGCGGGGACTTGGGGCTTTCATTTATCTAATATGGATGGCTGAGAGTTTGTTGATTTTCCTTAATTTTTCAAAGAAACACCTCTTTAAATCATTACCTCTTTGCTCTCTTTTCTTCATCTCTACTGCATTAATTTCTGCTCTGCTCTGCTCTTTTTAATCCCCTTCCTCACAGGAGCCTTGGTCTTGGCCTGCTCTTCTTTTCCTAAAAGTTTCATTTTCAACATTAAACCATCTACCTGAGCTTGCTCTAGTTTTCTGATCTGGGCATTCACTGCTCTGAATTTCCCTCCTCGGACTGCCTTCGGTGTGTCAGCGTGTGCACCAGTAAGTGGTATCATCACTGCAATGTATTTGTATAAACCGTCTAATTTCTTCCATTTTCTCTGTCACTCATTGGTTGTTCAGGGAGGTCTTATTTAATTTGCATATATTTATGCAGTTCTTGTGGTTTCTTTCACCATGGATTTCCAATTTAATTGTCCCATGGTCTCAGAGTATGCTTGGAATAATTTCAATTCCTTGTCATTTATAAGCATGTTTCATCAGCTTATATGTGGTGCATGTGGAATAAGGTCCTGTGTGCAGCTGAGAACAATGTGCATTCTGATGTTGGGTGGAGTACTCAGTTGACGTCTACTAAATCTATGTCTTCAAAGGTTTGGTGAAGTTCTAACATTTCATTGTGGAATTTGTGTCTGGTTCACCCATTCATGGCAGTGTGGTACTAAGGTACTCTATTAGAACTGTACAAGCATTTACTTGATTTTCATGTCTATTAATACTTGTTTTATATAGTTTGCACTGGCGTTTGTTGCATATGTACTTTCTATTCCTATTTCTTCCTTTGGATTTTTCCCTTCATAAGGATATAGTGAGCTTTTTTGTGTCTCTTAATCAATATGGCTTGAAATCCATATTGTCTGAAAATTGAAAATCTATCCCCAAACTTACAGATCCCTGTTGCATGAAGTATTATTTTATATCCTTTGAGTTTCAGACTATGAATTTGTTTTTGAGTTCTATGTGTTTCTCTATTCAGTGTGTCATTGGATGTTGCTTCTTGACCTATTCTGCCAGTCTGTTTCTTTTACTTGGTGAATTGATACCATTAACATTAATGATAATAACTGATAGGCACTGAATTATGCTTGTCATGTTATTTTCCTGTTGTTGGATCCCTTTTCCTCCTGCTCTGTTGAATTGCTTACCTTGTCTAGTGGATCCATTCTTTTGGAGTTCATAAGTATTTTTTTTTCTTAGTCTAGAATGACCTTCAGAACATGTGGGAGTTCTGAGTTTGTGGTCATGAATCTACTGAGGTGTTCTTTTTCATAGACCTACCCTATTTCTTCATCAATTTTGAAAGATCATGTGGCAGAGGGCATCACTCTGGGTTGGAGGTTTTTTAGGGGTTGAAATACTTTACTCCAAGGTCTCCATGACTTGAAGGTTTGTATGAGAACTCTGCTGTGATCTGATGGGTTTTCAGAAGTGATTTTCTTCTTTTCTAGAAAAGCTTTTAATACTGGGTTCTTACGTTAAATCTCTGTTTAGAAAGTGCAGGAGTCCATGTTTCCACTGCTCTGCCCACATACAATTTTACTTTTTCCATCACTACCTTCCCCAACTTGGTGTTAAGTTCTCTGGGTCACAGCACCTCTGTGCAGACTAGACACCAGGGTCACTGCGCTGCCATCAGAAGCTCCCCTGCATTTGTCCCTCTGCACATGCTTGTTCCCAGGTTCCTGACCTGATCATAGATGATGCCTTCAGAGCCTGTGATAACCTTGTAGGCTGACAGGGAGTGAAGTAGCTGCCACATCAGGGAAGACAGGAAAGCAGATGGCTTGAGAGGGTGGTGGTGAGGCAAGGAGATGGGTCTATTTGAGTTCCAGGCAGAAACACCAGGGCTTGGGCCTGCTTACACAAACAACAGCTACAACAACAACAATAACAACAACAATGTCATCCTAGCTCTGCTCTACTGCAGAATACCAGACGGAGGTTGAATTGGGCTTTAGGTGGTACAAATAAGTATATTCTGTGTGTCTCCCTGCCATGGACATGGAAAGAGAGGGGCTTATTGGTTTTCTTGTGCCATCTGTTCCTGCAATGACCTTCCTTCCAAAGGTCAGTGTGTATTTGAGGCTGAGGTCTAGACACAATGCTGTTGGTCTGAGGCAGACTGTAGTGTCCTCTGATGTCTGAAGAGGTAAAAGTGCAGCCCTGGGGGATTGGAGACTCTTGTTGCTCACCTGAAGCCTCTAGTTGAGCACGATGGGTGAAGGATTATGCTGAATGACTGTCATTGACTGAACATTCGCATGGTGTGGAGCTGAGTATGTAGGAGCCCAGATCCCAAGATGCCCACTGCTAGATCACAAGCATCTGTTCACAGGATGGTCACAGGGACTGAGTGGGTTCATGTGGTGACAACTGGAATGATCCCACATAGAGAGCTCCATGCCACATTTACAGGTGGAGGCTGTGTCTGGAGGAGCTGGTGAGGGTGACCCAGCACAGGCACAGTGGCTGCCAGCACAGGGAACAGAAACCAGTGAGTGCTCATCTGGAGGATGTGACTGGGGACCTACAGCCATCAAAGGCAACTGAGACTCATGGAGCACACAGGAACCCTCACCCTGGGCATTAGGTGGTACAAGGGTGTAAGGAAGACCTGGGTGCACAAGAGCTGAGTCCCTGGAATGGCAGGTGTCTGGGTGTAGGAGCGGAGCTGCTCCTGTGACTGGGAGGAGATGGGAATGAGGAGGATGGGGCAGAGAGGCTCGGCTTGGAGAGCAGCCAAGACTTCAACTCATCTCAGGTTTCAGGGGCTTAGCTGGATTCAGGAACCAGTGTGCCATGCTTGTTGGGTGCTCTAGGCTGGCTGTGATCATTGAAGGTTAGAATGAAACTAGAAACTAATAATGAGATTCCTGCAATTTCAGTGGTTTAGGTACAGGGACTTGTGCCGTAGGGTACCTTGTGGTATAGTGGGAGTGTGCTAGGAATCACACCAAAGACTTCTATGTGCAAGATCCCAGGCACTGAGATAAACTACACATCCTGAACTCCAGGGCTATAAACCTTGTCTTAAGGCTGTTGGCTTCCTCAAGGCCTTTTGCCACGTATAGCAATCAGCCACACAGAGATTTTGCAACAGTTGTACCAAAAACCAACCATAACAACAGAAACTTTCAGAGGGATCACAGTAGATAACTTAGCCACTTGGATCATCACTCTATAAATTTTCTATTGCACCTTTCCTTCATACATAAACACAGGTCTTTCTCCCAGTCTCCTCTTCTTGCTGCAGAGGACTTGGGAGCCAAGTGTGCTGAGGAGCTGTCCGAGGTTCTGACCACATATCTGTTGAAGGTCTGCTGAGTTGTAAGTGAGCGCTGAGTACTTTTATTTCCAACAGCTGAGCGTTAGCATCCTGGAGGAGGGGACACTGCTGCAGATAATGCACCCCAGGCCCATTCCCTCCTCTCAAGAACTGGAGAGGGGTGTGGAGGCCATCGCAGGAACTAAAACCACAGTCTGGTCAATGGAATCCAGGTGCTAATATTTTACATTTTTGTGGAAAAGCAGACAAACTAACATTAATAAAAGTGAGGCTCCGAGTAAGGTTCCTCCACAGGCACCCGTGTGCTCCTCCATAGAATCTGTGAATATGAGCCGTGGCGTGTAGATCTCTGCAGATTTCATTAGACATCACCTGCAGACATCCTTGGTTTTATCCAGGCAAGTCCCAAGTTAACCACAAGGCATTTTCTTTATAACTGATAGAGGTAGGAAAGTTGGAAAACACAGGAAATGTGATTGTGGAATAAGCAAAGAGAAGCCCCAGTAGCTGGACTTAACAACCCCAAATGTCTGGAGTGTCAGGGTCTGGCCTCCCAGGAAGGTCATCCTTCAGGCAGAAGAAGGAGTTTGTAGAAAGTTATGAAGCAGCATCTGCTTTGGGGTTGATTTTGCAGTAAAAATTCATGTCAGAGTTTAGAAATTCCTGTGAAGAATACAGAAAAGCCTCTGACTCTGGGTCCTTCTCAGAGCAGAGCACAGCCTGTAGGCATGGTGATCCACCCTGAGCTGCTCTGTGTCCAGGCCTGCCTGTGTTTGGGTGTCTTCTTGTTCCATCGCTCCAGCTATTCATCCATATTTTTTATGTATTTAGTACAAAGTCTATAGGGTCTCACTACACAGATCAAACTCATAGTGATTATCCTGTTTTCAGCCTCCAAAGTGCTGTGATTACAGGCCAGTGCCACCACTTCAGTCTCAGTTGCCATCTCAGTATGTCCTGGGGGTGGAACCAACAAGGCATGTGGAGCTGGGACTCGAACCTTGGTCCCTTCACTTTGCCTAAGCAGGTGCTTTAGTCTGTTCAGCTATCTGGCTGGCCCTTATTTATCAACATTTGGTCACACTTTTTTCCAAAATCAGTCATAAGGCTTAGCTAGATTTCAGTCATGGACAGGTTCCAGGGCATCTCGGTTTTATAGGAGCAAAACATTCATCACCCACACTCACCTCATAGATGGGAATAGCTGCCCAGGTACTGGGGACAGTATCCTGTTAGAGGATAGAGAGTTGTGGTCAGAGGACCAGGAGGGAGGGTCCTGGAGGCCGTGAAAGAAGTGAGAAGGGGCTGGACCTGCTTCCACTCTGTCCTCTTCACCAGAGGTAAGCCCTGCAGTCTCCTGAGCAGCAGCCTGCACCAAGCGACACCCAGTCCATGTCCTAGCTTGCCTTGTTGCTTGGGACCCCTCACAAATCACCTGCCACATTCCAGGATCCCTCTGACCAATGAAAGAAAATATCATCTTAAGAAGAAGATGTGACTGCCCCTGAAGAGGACACAACTTCTGGCCAGGGATGGGCTAACCCCTGGCCAGGGGGTGCTGCTGCTCTGTGCTCTGCTGGGGTTGACAGAGCCCCTGCTCTGAGTCCTGTGCAGCAGGCAAGAAGACAGGCTTATCTGGGAGGTAAAGCTGTTGCAATAAAAAGGAGAGGCCTGGGAAGACAGGCAGGAGTCATTAGGAAGGTGCTACAATATCCATGGTCCTCTGCAAAAGGTCGTAGTGACCCTCCTGTCTCAGCCTACCCAGCCCTGGGATTACAGACATGTACCACCATGCCCAGTTTCTGTGGCTGGCACGGTGCACCCAGGGTTCAGGGCCAGCACAGCATGCGGTAGTGGGGATCAAGCGTGGGTCCTTGCATTTGCCAGGTAGGCACTTGGAATGCTGAGCTGTCTCCCCAGCCCTCTCCTTTTTATTTTTTATTTCTATTATCAATTTTGCATGCTTATATCTGGTAATCTGAACAACTGATTTGAAGAGAATGATACGCAATATAACAGCTATTGTTGGATTTCTATCATTTTGTTTAGTGAAATTCTGTATCATTTCAAATGTTTTTTAAGCTTTTTTTATTATCTTAAAGAAAAAAAAAAGACTACTCAAAGAGTTGGCTCTGGTAGCCTCCTCCCTCTGTGCTGAGCCTCTTCCCCAGCAGGACCATTTCCTAGGGCCTCATGACTGGAGGTGAAGTCTGTCTAAAACACCTCTCTGTCCCCTTCCCTCTATGTCCTGCCTCTGTCCCTTCGTCCCCTCCCTGTGTGACCTTCCGTAGGCAGACCACACTCTGAGGAGCAGAGTGAAAGAGAAAGCAATTATAACTGGGTGAAGCTTACAAGGGGCAGTGCTGGGGTATCCACAGCCTGTAGACACCAAGATGGCCTGGGAATTGCAGAGTCCAGGATGAGAGAGTCCTTTGGACTAAGACCCAGTTGTAGTTGGTAGTTACTTCCTCCAGATGCCATAGAGGTCCGGAGCTCTCTGTAGAGGAGTGGCCTTCAACATGGAGGTGACTGAGGCTAGCCAGGGAGCTTGGGGGAAGAGGAGGACTGTGGAGTGAGCCTACACTGGGGAGATTCCAACCCCGCTGGACACTGGGTCCTGCTGAGAGGATCAGTAGACCCCTGAGATGTGCCAAGGTGGGGATGGGTGCCCTCTGGCAGACAGTGATGAAAATGTCCATGGCAGAATTGGGAAAGAGTTTTATGCATCTGTCATCCTTAAACATTTATCAAATTTACTTTTTTTTTCTTTTCTTTTTTGTCCCAGGGATCGAACTCATGACCTTGTGCTTGTCAGGAAGGTGCTTATGCCACTGAGCTATCTCCCCGCCCTATATCTAATTTTTATGACAGGACACATTCTGACTTCAATCCACATCTCTCAGCCAAGTCCTTCTCTGATCTGCTTCTGGAATGTCACCAAGCTCATGTGTGCGTGCTGAAGCCAGGCCAAGAAGGGGCTGCAGAACTGGGGATCTGGACCTGTGTACATGACTCTTGGGCTGGGCTGAGCAGGTATGAGGAGGAGAGGGGAGAGCCCGTGTCAGTGAAGTCTCACAAGAGCCAGCCTGCTCAGGTGGCAGGGCTCCTTCCTGTCCCCTTTTTTTACATGATCTTGGAGCAGCTGGACCAGAAGCTTGCTGTCACAAGGGGTTTTCAGCCTCTGCTTTCCTCCAGGGGGGCTTTTCTCACCTCTGCAACCTGGGTGCCGGGCCTCACTGTTTAAGGGAAGGCAGTGGATCTGTACAGATGCCATGCATGGGTTCTTTCAGCAGAGAAGCAGGCCTCTGGGTCAGAGACACCTCTCCCCTCACAGGCATGAACCTCTGGGGCTCTGTTTATCGTGGGGTTCCTCTAGCTCTGCAGCTCTGCATGGAAAGGGATGGTTTGGGGCTCCCTTTTCCCACCAGTCACAATTGTGATCTCCCTAGGTGAGGGGTCACACTGCTCTCCTC